GGTGGTTGGTGGTTGGTGGTTGGTGGTTGGTGGTTGGTGGTTGGTGGTTGGTGGTTGGTGGTTGGTGGTTGGTGGTTGGTGGTTGGTGGTTGGTGGTTGGTGGTTGGTGGTTGGTGGTTGGTGGTGGTGGTGGTGTTGGTGTTGGTGTTGGTGTTGGTGTTGTTGTTGTTGTTGTTGTTGTTGCTGGTGGTGGTGCTGCTGCTGCTACTGCTGTTGTTGTTGCTGTTGTTTAAGCCAGGTCCTTTAAAGCTTTTTGTAGAACTGTGGGCGCCCTTGGAATGGGGCATGTCTGGCACCAATTCGGCCTCCACAACTGCTTTCAGATGTTTCAAGGTCTATCGGCCTCAGCGGGTGGAGGCGCCCAGGCGCGGGCCTCGTGTTCAGAGGCCTCCTGGGAGAGTGATCTGTGGAGACAACGGGGAGACGGACACATTTAGGACATGCCTACTTGCGACTTGTTCATTTTGATAACTTAGGACTCTGTGAATCATTCTTGCGTTTTAGGAGGCCCCTAGAGCAGTACGGTGTCGTTGTCATATGTATCTTTGGATTCATGTTTTCCACATCTCCAGATGTGGAGATCTTGACACGTGCAGCAGCCACCGAGGCAGGCCCAACTCGAGAGCTTGGGGGCTGCTTTGTTACAACATGAGAAGTTGAGGGATGTCAGATTCGCCCAGATTCCCCTAAAAACTCACCATCCAATGGATGAATTGGCCTTTTTGTCAGGTCAGCTGTTAGGTCCGTCCGCTGACGAGAATCGGAAAGAAAGTAAGTCTTTGGAAGGTGAGGGAAATGGTGGCGTGACCGCATGACCATGATTTGTCCATGTTCATCCATTTTCTTCTGTTGTCCTGCGGTGCAGTTTGAAAGAAGGATACGTTTTAAAAAAATTGTAATAGAGCTACTTGAACAATGCCCAAGTCTTGGAGACGATTCCTCCCAGCTCATCCCCGCCCAGCTCCCGAAGAGGAACGCAGCTTTTCTCAGCTCGCTTGCTTTTGCAGGGGCTGCCCCCACTGTCTCGAGATCTTTCGTGCTTGAGAGTGGGATGCACGAGTGGATGCCATGCTCTGAATGCCAAGGTTCCCAGATTGCACATGCCCTTTGTTATTAGTAGCTTCTTGTTCCTAGTAGTAATGCCAGGAGCTACTAGTAGCGTCCTTGCTCCTAGTAGCGATGCCCTTTGTTCCTAGCTTCTTGTTACTAGTAGCAAGAATGCTCCTAGTAGTAATGCCCTTGTTACTAGTAGCGATGTCCTTTGTTCCTAGCAGCTTCTTGTTAATTACTAACTTTCCCAGATCGCTGAAACAGGGATGTCACACTCAGTCGCCCAGCGCCGCTACTACTGGCCAGTGCCGGGTCCCAAGAAAATAAGGAGTCTTGAACTGATGGCCTTGGTTTACCCCATATCCCAAGGAACAAAAAACGGAGAATGACGATTGCAAAGTGCATTGATGGGGTGCTGGTGTTCCTGTGTCAAGAGTAAATTGCAAGGAAATCATCGTTGCTTGAAAGTGTCCAGCTGATTGCAAACGAAGTGTGCCTCTTCTGTAGCCTTGTTTTTTAAATCTAAAACTGGATGCCTAGTTTTCAGAAGCTGAGTTGGCGTCCAACTGGTGTCCTGCGCAATTCTGCGCTAGAGGAGCGGCAAATGACACGGAGTCGTGGTCGCACGCCGGCGGCGTTTTTTGTGGTGGAACGAACAGCCCTCAAAATCACGCAGAAACCATCAACCGGTGTTGTGACCAATACACTTGAGCATTTATATACTTAAGTAGTCTGACCCTTGCGCCACTTGTTCGAGGCTTTCGAGTAAAATTGACTGGATGGGCTCTTTGTTGGCCATTTGCCGCTTCACATCCGCCCACATCGCTTTGAAACTGACCGCACATGCTGCTCAGTGAGCTCCCCCAAAACTCCCGATTAACTGAATGGGTCAGCCAGGTGTGTCTGCCTTTCCACTGAGCTCCTGAATGGGTCGGGTGACAAAGGGAGCGCAGACTCGGCACGTGAAATTTGTTGTCTCTGTAATTAGAAGGTTCTCAGACTTCCAACTGCGTCAGCGTTTGCTGGACTGCACACTATTTAAATTGAAACTGCCTGAACCTGCAACTTCTCTGATTCCTCATTTGAGCATCCTGCTTGCAAATGATTGGACAGATCTATTAGCAGTAGCACATCGAATGCGGACTAGGTCCTCTCAACTTTGTTGCTATTCTCGTTCTTCGAGTGCTGTCCAGTGTTAGCCCACTCCGTTATTTGGATGTCAAAGTGTACGGATAACACAATCTAGACTAGACAGCCTTCTCAGAAACCGTTTTGTGAAGAATGGTGCTACTAAAAACACACGGGAGGTAGATGTGTCAAACCTTTTGTGTAACTCTTATTGATTCTTTTGCTCAGAGTACCCAAATGCAGAAAAAAACCATTGCAGGTCAGAATGCCACCTGGAAGGTCCATGTCCAGGTCGGATACTGCCTAAACAGGAGGGAAGCACTCCAGTGGCCCAAATAAGTGCTTTGAACACAATTCCAACTCCCATCTTTACAGAGATTGTCCCCACTCCTTGGATGAGGGGGGCGCATTTAAGACCTTTCTTGGGTGTTTCGCTGCCTTACTTGAGCCGAAAACGTGGCATTCTGAGCGTTCTGTACAAGTACGCCTCTGTGGCCAACCAAGTCAGTCTGGCCGCAAAAGGTCGCTGTCGCAGCGAAGCCTCTTTCAAAGGTACCCCTCGTCCTCGGAGATTCGACGAACCAAATTGATCTTTCTTTCACCAAAGAAGAGATTCGAGCTGTGGACAACTGAGCCCCTTTCAGAAGGTCCCTACCTATTTTATCCTATGTTCCGCTCCAAGCGGGATTTCTCGGAGAAATTGGGCTTGCGCCGGTCTTCCATTCATCACGTCTGGTTTCCGCTCTCTCTCGCCTCTCTGAAGATTTCGTCGCCTTTCATCTGGTCCATCACTCCGAGGGGTGGGCCTACCCAGGTTTTCTAGCATAGGTAGTCTAGACCAGTCGAAATTCCTGTCTCCATTGGTTGAGACTGAAGACCTATCCGCGTGCAAATCTGCGTCACGCCAAGCCCAGAGATTGAGCCAACTCTCTCTCCCCCATCTGCACCAGACAGCCAAGCCGGCTGGAAAGATGGTAGATGACGATCTGGATTCTGTGATCTCCCTTCGACGTCGCTTTGATCTCTGCTGGTTTGGCTTCAAACAATGCTTCCGGCAGGGTGACTGCCATACTTGTGAGGCATCCCCTTCACAACGCCAACTCTGGCGCAGAGCCCAGCACCATGAAACGACATTGGATCCTTTTGTCTAGTCGTTGTAGAGGCCCTCTGGACATGGTTATCAAGATTGATGCTTTGTTGGAAGTTTGCACCCCGTGGATTGCTCGTTTCAGACCACAACCCCGTCGTGGCACCACAAAAACGGCTTCTGGGGAAGAAAGTGTGCGACCACTTGTGGTCGCAGCGTGTAGGGACGACATATCACAACTAAAACCATGTGTGGAAGAATCCTGGTGCTCTGATGCGGTATCCTTTGGCTTCGCTTTGCAGCCTCTACCAGCCACGCGATCTGATTCACGCGCGTCTAGCGCACATGCCGCACATGCCAATAGGGCGAAGACATACCTCAAAGAGGAGGCCATCAGTGGTTCCCGGTGGGTGGAAGTCAAAATCGACATGGTCCTGGTGGATTGCTATCAGTTTTCTACTGAAATGAGCAGTACAGTACACACAGGAAAAAAAACAGAGAACTGCCATGAAGCGTTGAAGTCATTGAACAGAATGTGTCCAAAGACCTAGAATGTGTCAACTTCCAAGTGGCACTTTTGTTGCGGGGAGCCAATTCTTCCTATTTTCTTCGGTCACTCATTGGACGGCTCAAGGAGCTAAGGCCCCCCAAGGAGCGGTTGCCAGGCTTGCTCCCGCCAAGTCACCGAAGCTTGCGCAAATGAGTTGCGGTTGCCGGGAAGATGTGAGCATCTGCCATAACTTCTCCTCGGTCCGATGTGTTCGTGGATGCGATCTCCACCATTCCGGAGCTTGGGGGAACATCTCCGCCAATTGAGGTCCAAATGCAATTGAGCTTGGGTATATGGCCAGTAACAGGTAGTAACAGTGGATGATGATTGTTAGGTTGCAGACCTTTCTCAAAAATATTCTACCGTATTGCTGCTCATGGGACGACCTCGCTTGAGCGCCTAGGACGTTTCAGAACTCTAACGCGACGTCCGTCCCTTCGGCAGTCGGTGGCTGCCAAGTAGCTCCAGCGCAGAACCAGGCACCTAGTGATGTAGAGAGGAAGTCGTCAACTAGGTGGTGCAGAATAGGGATCAGCTGTCAACACTTGCTGAAGGGTCACCTAGCGGCTTAGCGCCCTACCCATCCTCGATCCGGGTCACGGAAGGCCTTCCGGTCGCCAATTCCCACCAGCCTTTGATTTCTCGAGTCTTGGAATCCAGATTGGTCTACATGTCATCACAAGCGCCAACAAGGGTTGCACCACCGATTTGCTTCGACACCAAGCGCCACACGCTTGGGAACAAAACGCGGGAACAACACGGGGCGTCGGATCTAGTGGGTGGGGGCGGTGGAGACGAATCCTGGAGCAATTCCCATCCCTCCCCATCCCTCCCAACAAGGCGCTCTCCAACTGTTGTCCGGCGTCATGCAAGGTGCTCTGCAGCCGCTCCGGCGCGGACATACTGCGGCGGTACTCCTCAAAAGTAGAAGAATGTACGAGGTCTCCCCAGTGGATCTCTGGGTATTGTGGTGGAGGAAAAAGAAGAAAACGGACTTGTGACATTGGATTTGGATCTGTTTGTTTCGTAGCCATAGTGCCATAGCGTTAGTTGTGTGTCCATGTTCGAGCTCCATGAGCTCCATGCATTGAAAACACTCAAGATTACAAAGTCGGTACCCCATGTCAGTTGCCCAACCACAGACTTGAGGATATGTGGGGTTCCGTTCTGTAAGATTCACTCTTAGATACCATCACATGTGCCAGGACAGTGTTTGGCTCTATGAAACACTACCGAACCACTGGGATTTCCCGATGTTTATGCCCAATTCATTGGCCAAACCAACAAAAGGAGTCCTCGGAAGCCGAATCCCCGAAAAAGGACAGGCTCTTTCCAAGTCCGGATGTCTGATTCAATGTTTGCCAACAGTTTACAATATGTTACAATCAAATAAAACTGTCTACAAGTGCAGCAAAAAGGTTGCAAGCCAAAGGCATGTCTGACCTTCTTCTCGTGCTTGAAATTGGATAGATCCAAATTGCATCCAGCCTCTCGACCAGTGCAGTTTCAATTTCTGGATATGCAACATCTTGGATGTTGACTGGCTTTCACCAAAAGACTGCTGTGGAGCATTCACAAGTTCTGATTTTTGAGGGAAGGCGAGTGTGTGCACGCAGAGAGGCTCTGGAAAAAAAGAACAAGCAAACATGCACCAATGCTTTCCACCAATACACAAGAACTGCCCCCCCCCAAAAAAAAAACCTAAACAAACGCCAAAACACTGTATAAACGTTCCAAACCGATTCTCTGGTGGCACCGTTTCGCATCACAAGAACACAAAGCGCAGGCGCTTCGCGCACAGCATCACGCGCACGCCACACGAGCCACGCCTGGGCCGTATGAGCCCGGTGCAGGACCTGGGAAAAGCACGGAAAAACGGGCCAGGCAACGGAAATGCCTTTTATAGTGGGTTTCAGAGCAGACGGCGCAATCCCCAAAAAGGTGGGTGGTTTATATTTATATATATATATTTATATATGGACCCCGGGCCCCGGGCTATATAAAAGACATCTTGGGGTGCCAGTGCCATCTACTCTCAATCCATTGCAAGGAAAGTGGAGATTGACCTCGTTTAAATTTGAGCTTCTTTTTTTCGCCTACCCCTAGTAGCCCTAGTATTGTTAGTATTGCTGTTCGTCAACTGGACGCCTACCAATTTCCAGCGTCGGCATACCGAGATAGATCGTCCTAAGTATATAAACGCTGTGTTCCTTCGTTAACATCCTGATGTGTGTTCTCCCCCGATAGCGAAAGCTATTGGGATACTTACTTCAAAGTACTTCAAGGGTGCTGGTGCCGCAGGGCGCCGCCAGATGTGTATGGCCACGTGCGGACTGGAGCCTGCATGCCCCTGCCACTGCTGTGGTGCTGCCCACAAATATATTTTCCTATCTGTGGTCTATGCTCGTAATATTTCCTTTCTGGAGAGCGGGTCTGACCGAGCGGAGACAGATGTGAGGGTTGGTCATTCGCCTTTGTTCGCTCGTGAGTCACCTGAAAAAAGATCTCGTCAAACATGTACATGGACACCTTGGGTCGGCTGGAAGTTCTGCCCCAATGTCAACAGCTTCGTTCATGGTGTCAAGCAAATGGCTTGGGGTGTTCACCTGACGTGTCCAAATGAGGCACGTGGTGTCTTGCGAGTCGCCATCGAAGAATCATCGAAATTGGTGTCCAACCCAAGCCCAGTGAGTGCCAGGCAGCCACTCTTTCTAAGGAACCAAGGCGACCTCCTGGTGTTGGTCTTTGGAACCACTGGTAGTTACCAGCGACCTACAGTGGTGTAGCTGGATCCACTGGGAACGATTTTCACCATCCTGGGCCCCGCTTGACCGCGGCCTTGGGCGGATCCTCCAGAATGGTGCTCTTGTGACCTGCCTCAACAGGGCCGTAGCGAAACCGTTTCGGCGAGAGATGGATGTTGTCGAACCTGTTGATATATCGCTGTTTTAGAAGCATCAGAAGTTTGAAGTCTATCACCATCAAGCACCGAGTCAACTGCGAGTCAACGGTTCAGAACCGTTTTTCAGGTCCACGCCTTGTTGGGAGTGCAGTCCTGGATCTCCGTCTGGCAGAGCACGGCACAGGGCAAAACTGAATCTATGAATCATAGAGCTTTGACATCAATCTCTGCTTGTACAGATTTATATAGCGGACCCCCAGGACAATTTTGGCTTCAATAGCTTGGAAAAAGCTGTAAAAAACAAGAATTGGTAAGTGCTTGGGGAGGGGGGGTCCGTATTTACAATATATTTATATTTACATACATACTTGTTTGCTAATAATTAGTATGACTCATCCCGCCATAGCAAGCTGTAGCCATGACAGGTTCGGCAGCTCAACCAGAAAAATGCGCCTTGAGCAATGTAGGCAAATCCTCTGGTGCTTCTTCAGATGCCTCAATTTGACACGGGGCACTAAAGATGTGACATGATGCCACATGTCTTAGGCAGCATCAGCCATCTTAAGGGCTGACACTCTCCCTGAAGCAAGATCGCAAAGCAAGAGCGCATGCTCTGCTTCAGACACTCTCCACTGCAAATTGTTGATAGTTCCGGCTACTGTTTCTGCAGCCTGCAGCCACGGTCACTGCTTCAGTCTTGCAATATGGCCTTCCCTTCCATGAAACGAGTGCACTCGCACATCCCCAGTGAGCACTTTAGCCCAAACGTCTCGCTGTCATACATCAGGACAACGAGATGTCCAGGGCATTGGCCTGCAACGATGGCAGCCTCTGGCATGATGCCCCACACACACACACGGTGCGCTAAACATGTGTAGGGCGCGCCCAACATCGGACGATAGCACCTTCTTGGCTCACCAAAGTAGCAGGAGCCGCACAGCCACAAGATCAAACGATGGGACTGAACCTCTCAAACGGTAACATCAGAAACTTGTGCATCGAATGGTTTGCCACGCACATCTTCAATTGACCTCACGCAGCAACAACCACAGATTCCTGCACATGTCATGGTCTAAGCTTCTGTCCAAGTTCAGTGCAACACTATGAGCAGCAGCATGCTTAAGTAAATTCTCTTCTCAAGGTGCTGGTGGGCCCATGACAATACGGTGCTCCCTGAAAAAGTCTTCAGAAGTTTCAACAGGTTCTTTCAACTGATTGAATGCACACTCTGTCTGATGGGAAATTTCCTTGGTGTGCCAGTCAAACCAGTGACATTAACTCGAGGGTGAGCTTGCAACCTGTTCAAAACCCCATGTGAAGTCACAGGTCTGTGTTGGTGAAGGAAAATTCTCTCCGCGGGCCTCCTGTATCCGAAAGTCTTTGACCCAGACTTTGCAAGCCAGAAGTAAACTCCAGCGGTTCATCAGGATGACCGCAATCTGGAAGCACCCCGGATTCCCACCAATCGCCAGGAAACAAAGGAAGGGCAGGGCATGGTGGATGAAACGTTCCTGTCCTGAGAAGAACAGAACAACTGCGACTCCTCGAATGTCGAGCGCATCCGGGGCAACGCGTGGTCCATAAAAGCTGAAAAAGAAAATACACATGTCGACCGGGTATATCCCGTCCCACCAGTAACAGTGGATGATGGTTAGTAAAGGCATTCCAAAGCAAATAGGGATCATCTTTTACCGACTGTTATATACTAATGGGCTAGACCCTACACATGTCACTGTCATATCATGTCGTGTGGATTCTCTGCTTCGTGGACTCAGACTCCACAACCTGACCACCACCTCGGACGACACCCAAGTGACGACAGCATGAAAGACCCGGTCGCAAACAGAAACTGAAACAAACGCGTCGGATTCTTCAACCGGTTCCAATGCCGCGCTTGGAAATTCTGAGGAATCGCCCAGTCGTGCTCAGATTTGTCGTGAGTTCCGGTGTGAGTTCTAAGTTCTATCATGTGCATGTGTGATTTCAAGACACTCAATCTATCATGTCAGGAAGCTACTTCACACGCCCCGTGTCCCATTCACACAGATCGTGTCCCGCCTGATGCAGTCCCTGAAAACTGGGAACTTCAGAGCCAAAAGGGTTGCGAAAGAAGGAGGACCGATCGTTTCCATCAGTTTAGCTAAGAAAGGCCTTTCGAAAAGGCAAATGGACAAAGAAAAAATATCCAAAGGGCACTCAGTCGACCCGTTCGCTCAATAATGCGAGTGCCAACAGCGCAGCAACTCTTGCAACTGACATCCATCAACAAAAAAATAGAAGCGTCTCGAGTTGACCGACTGAACCCCTGTTGAAACACCTAAAAGGCTCCTGCATACCCAGAAAGAGAGGCAAGTTGGGGCCTCGGCACGACACCGACCACGACCGTTTTCCTAGTAGCGATACCCTTTGTTGGTAGTAGCTTCTTGTTACTAGTAGCTAGTAGCGTCCTTACTCCTAGTAGCGATGCCATTTGTTACTAGTAGCTTCTGATGGCAAATGGCACCCGGTTTGATCGATTTCCGCGGAAAATGGCCGGTCTTTGGCACAAAAGGTTAGAGTACGTGGCGACCGGTGCGAGCTCGCATTGAGTGGCTGCCCTTGGGAGGGCTGTATTCGGAAACTGGACGGTTGTATTCGGAAATTTGTATTCGCAAACTACAAAACTAGATTCGGAAACTGGTACGGTTGTATTCGGAAACTGGCACGGTTGTATTTGGAAACTGGAGAGATCTCGGAAACTGCGAAGAGCAAAGCAAAACTACAGGGAGTTGACTTCTTCGCACCGCGGAGACTGATGAGCTCAGTAGTAAGTAGTGAAGGTGCTATTCATTAGTAAATCAAGTTCACTCACTGCTGTATACATGTTTGTGATTTCTGGTTTAGCTTTGTATTGTAACGCTTCTCTACCCAAACACGGCCTCTTCCCGGCTTCCATGACAGTAAAATTTTAACACCCCACCCCCTATACCCCTTCATCCCAGAGATCATCAACTTTTCACGCAACTACCCACCTATGTTTATTGCGCCCCCACCCCCCCCAACCCACCCCCACAAATTTCACTGAATACGAAGAAGATAGTTTCTGAATACCGCGAAAGTAGTTTTTGAATACAACGAAAATAGTTTCTGAATACAACGAACGTATATAAGTCTAAATACAACGAAAGTATATAGTTTCTGAATACAACGAAAATAGTTTCTGAATACAACGAAATAGTTTCTGAAT